CGGTCGCTGGTGGCTGTGGGCACCCCCGACTACTTGTCCCCCGAGATCTTGCAGGCCGTGGGCGGCGGGCCGGGGCCGGGCAGCTACGGCCCCGAGTGTGACTGGTGGGCCCTGGGCGTGTTCGCCTATGAAATGTTCTACGGGCAGACGCCCTTCTACGCCGACTCCACGGCTGAGACCTACGGCAAGATCGTGCACTACAAGGTGAGCGGAGCCCCGGGAGCCCCACCCCTCTGCGCCTCTCCCAGGCTGACAAGCAAAGCAAGGACAATGGGCCCGGTACAGAAACTCACCAGGGTAGAAAGCCCCAGATACCTAGCAAGGGGCAAAATTGGGCCGAGGAGGCCCGCGACCTCATCCAGCGGCTGCTGTGTCCCCCGGAGACGCGGCTGGGCCGGAACGGAGCAGGCGATTTCCAGAAGCATCCTTTCTTCTTCGGCCTCGATTGGGATGGTCTCCGAGACAGCGTGCCTCCGTTTACTCCGGATTTTGAGGGTGCCACCGACACGTGCAACTTCGATGTGGTGGAAGATGGGCTCACTGCCATGGTGAGCGGGGGCGGGGTAGGTACCTGCGACCCCTGCTCCATTAAGTTCGGGCAACGACAGTGCCCACCTCCTGGGGGCCTGACGTCATTTCTTCCCGTGAACTGCTCTGTGCCTGTCCGGGGCTGGGAACCCAGCGGTGGCCTAGACTCGCAGTCCAATGAGGGACACAGACTTGTCCCCAGACGATGACACCCCAGAGCAATCAGGGCCGGGGTGAAGGAGGACGGGGTAGGGCCTCCTGGAGAAGGGCAGTATCGGAGCCGAGGTGGAAGGATGAGGTGGAAGGCCGGAAAGCACCATAGAAAAATCTCCCGCCCTGAGGCCGCCTCCCTCTCGTGTTACACAGTCAGCCTGGTGCCCTGTGCTGGGCACTGCCCTGGTCCCGCAGCCACTTCCTCATGGAGAAGTAGATACTGATATGGTGGCGAGTAGATACTGATATGAGGGAAACAGGCACCATGATTGATGGAGGGACACTATATAGGCCCTAAGTAAGGGTGGATTTGGGGGAAAGTTGAGACGTAAGGGGTGAGGGGCCAGCCTCCTGTCTGATTCTCTTGTATTAGGAGACGCTGTCAGACATGCGGGAAGGCATGCCGCTGGGTGTCCACCTGCCTTTTGTGGGCTACTCCTACTCCTGCATGGCCCTCAGGTAAGAGCTGCCCCTGTGTGGCTTGTGAGGAGCAGGCTGGGGGCGCAGGAGGCTGCTCAGGGTGACGGTATCCGGGCTCATCAGCGCCCAGTAGAATTGCAGGATCCGTCTTGGAACCTTACTGCCTTGGGACCAAGGGCTCTTAGGGACCCAGAGCTGTAGGGCCTAAATCTCAGACCACAGTGCTTTGAAATGTTAAGATTCGATTGTAAAACCTCAGAGCCACTTTTAGATTTCTAGTCAGAGTCACGGGACCTCAGAATCCTAGAAAGCAAAATGTTTAGAATTTTAAAGCCAATCTTAGAACAACACAAATTCAATGAATCACTCACATACAGCCTTTTTTTAAAATATATATATTTTATTGATTTTTTACAGAGAGGAAAGGAGAGAGATAGAGAGTTAGAAACATCGATGAGAGAGAAACATCGATCAGCTGCCTCCTGCACACTCCCCACTGGGGATGTGCCCGCAACCAAGGTACATGCCCTTGACCGGAATCGAACCTGGGACCTCTCAGTCCGCAGGCCGACGCTCTATCCACTGAGTCAAACCGGTTTCGGCCACATACAGCCTTTTGAAAACATTAATTCTAGCCCTCGCCGGGTGGCTCAGTTGGTTAGTGTTGCCCCAATATACCTAGGTTGTGGATTCAATCCCTGGTCGGTGCTCATACAAGAATCAACCAATGACAGCATAAATAAGTGGAACAACAAATCGATGTTTCTCTCTCTTCGCTCTAAAATCAATCAATCAATAAAAAATAAAGCAGGAACCCCACTAATAATACATTGCTTGGCATTAGTGACTTATAATATGTGGATAAGAAAAAGGAATTCCATCATCAGCGATGGCCCTGGCTCATGGGCACACACACATTTTTAACCCTGAGAACCTGCTGCATTCTACCCTGTTTTGTTACCGACAATGTATTACCAACACCATTGGTTATGAACGAACTACAAGCTGATCCTGACCCACTGTGTACACTCTCCTTATTGGGTGGGGCAGGACTCCGTTAGCCTGTCCTCGGCCCTAAGCCAGGCCGCATGAAACACAGGCTGGTCCAGGTGCATGTGCCGATGGTTAGGTCCCTGAACACAGTTCCACGAGGGGCTGTTGGACTGGGAGGAACACCTGCTTTCACTGCCACTTAGTATGTAGGGAGTCTGTGTCCCGCCCAGTCGCTGGGCGTGGGGCGTGTGCTGATGTCTAGAGTCACGGTCTTGGGATCCACACACAGTCCTAAGACTCTACCTTTGGAGGTGGGCAGTGTTCCACTCAGTGGGTCGCCTCACTGTCCTGAGGGCCCTAAGGAGAGGGGTCTGCAAAGGGCACATGGAGAGGGAGGAGATGAGTGGGCCCTAGGATATGGGTGTTGTTCCCCGAGTTCCCACAGAAGGTGCAGAGGGCAGCTCCCAGGGGCCTGAGGCCATGCAAAGGGCAGCCTTTTTCCTTTCCAAGAGGAAGACCTGTCACACCAATTTAGCAACTTGTTCCCTTCACTCTGCCCCTCTCCTCAAACCACGGGTCTTTGGATCTAGCTGCCCCATGACCAGAGGTTAGGGAGTCCTGGCTCTCTCCCCCTCGCCCTCTCCCTCTCCCCAGGGACGATGAGGTCCAGGGCCCCATGCCCATGGAACTGGAGGCCGAGCCGTTGCCTGAGCCACCTGTGCAAGTGCCCAGCCTGGAGCCCAGGGTGCCCCCACTGGAGGAAAAGGTGAGTTGTTGGAGGAAAGGCAAAGGTTTCCAGGATAGCGGATGCCATGGAGCACTAAGCCCTCTGAGCGCTGACTCACAGACACGGAAAATGTGTTACTTCTGTCAGAGGCTACCAGAGGGCACTGAGTGTGCGCCGGGGGCTCTCTGGGAGTGGAAGCCCTGCAGAAGGAGGGGGACCACCCATGGGAAGGAAAGTGCCCACTGGTTAACAGAGAAGAGCTTCAGGGCAAAGGCCCTGAGGTGGGAACCAGCTGGTTTGTTCCTGACCCTGAAAGGAGGGTATTGAAGCTGAACTGTTCCAGCGGAAGCCGGGTGAAGAGTGAGGGGAGGGAGGCTGCAGAGGTCAAACCAAACCAAACCAAACTAAACCAAACCACACCGGGCCTTCTGGTGCAGCAGGCCTTCTGCCGGCCCTGAGGAGCTGGAGAAGTTTTGAGCAAGGCTGCACCGTGGTCAAGTTGAGTTAGTGTTTTAGGAACAACCCTTTGGTTCCTGTAAGGAGGTGGATGGAAGTGGAGCCCATGAAAGGCTGGAGACCAGGGTGGGAGGTGGTTAGGGAAGGAGGGGGCCTGGATCATTGCAGGAACTGTGGGGATTCCAGAAATATCTAGGAGTGTAGAAGGCAAGAGAGGATCCCAGGCCTGGAACCTATGCCCCAGTCTTGAGTGCCCCAGGAGCCACAGGCAGCCCTAAGCCCAGTCCCTATGTGCAGGCTGAAGTGGCAGTTCCAGTGGCAATCCCAGCGGATGTGGCAGAGGCCGAGGTGACCTTGCAGGAGCTCCAGGAGGCCCTGGAGGAAGAGATGCTTACGCGGGAGAGCCTGAGCAGGGAGCTGGAGGCCATCCGCACGGCCAACCAGAACTTCGCCAGGTCGGGGTCAGGGCACAGGGGCCTGTCGCTACCTTTAGCAGCCTCTCCCAGAGACCCCGAAGGGCTCACGGTCCTTACCTCCCCTCAGTCAACTCCGCGAGGCTGATGCCAGGAACCGAGACCTGGAGGCGCACATCCAGCAGCTGCAAGAGCGGATGGAGGGGCTGCAGGCGCAGGCGCAGGGAGCGGCCGGTGAGTCCCTCATCCACCTCCTTTCCCCAGGGCACCAGGGGAGGGGGGCTCGCCAGCGTGTGTGGACACCTGGGGGAGGGAGAGTGGCCCAGGCTGAGGCACACCACGCCACTGTCCTCCTCCGTCACTGCACGCACCCTACACCTCTCTCTTCTCCTTCCAGCTGTCACGGGGGTCCCCAGTCCCCGGGCCACGGATCCACCTTCCCATGTAAGACCCCTCTTTTTCCCCTGCGTCAAGCCTGCTGCCCCCTCTTGCAGACCCTGTCCCCGTCTCCCCGTCCAGATTTAGGGCTCACCTACTCCTTTGGGGTTCCAGGCAACAGAACCTTCCATTCAGCCCCATATCCACCAGATCTCCCACGGTTCAGGCTTCTCACCAAATCCCGTCCGAGAGCTCCCTCGATCCCCTCCCCGACCTCGGTTCCCTGTCTCTCGCCCCCCACCGAGGCGGCCGGGCTCCGATTGGGTCACCTGTCCCTTCTCTCTCCAGCTAGATGGCCCCCCGGCCGTGGCTCTGGGCCAGTGCCCGCTGGTGGGGCCAGGCCCCATGCACCGCCGCCACCTGCTGCTCCCTGCCAGGGTACGTCCGGCTGCTTCCACCCACCCGCCGCGGCGTCCCCCGCCTCCTCCACGAGCCCCAAGCCGCCTGTGCTTAGCTGCTCCTCTATGAGGCTGGGCTTCTGCGGGAGGGAGGGTGCTTTGGCAGCCAATCAACGCAGCCGCTAGAAGAGCAGCCAATGACGAGTTCAGACAAGACTAGAGACTTGCAAGCCGACCAACCACAGCTGCCCGAGTTGTTGGGGGCGGGAAGAACGAGGACCCATCTATGAGCGGGGGCGGGGCGAGTCCCAGCAACCAATCAAGTATCCGTTTACACCGGTGCTGATCCCGCCCTCTCCGCAGGTCCCTAAGCCTGGCCTATCGGAGGCGCGTCCCCTGTTCCTGTTCGCCGCTGCTCTGGCTGGTACCGCCGCCCTGGGCTGCACTGGGTTTGCGCCGCCCAGGAGCCGTCTTCGTCCCCTGAACTTTAGAGCCCCGGCCCGTCCTCCACTCGGGCCCCGCTGGAGGGTTGGGTGACGCGCACTCGGCCCAGAAGCCACTCACATCGCCTCCGGGCTCAC